ACCCTCTTGGTGGTCCTGTCAAACAGAAACGCTCGCTCCCCAATGAAGCACGCCACCGCGTGGAGCTGCTCGGCGTCGTAGTGCAGCAGCTGGTAGAGAAGGCACGAACAAGCAGCCACCGCCCTCCCGATCCCGGGCATCCCGATCAAGACACGCCGCACAAACGCCGAGTTCGCCCCGCCGTGCGTGCCAAACAGCCCGGCCAGATCGCCCTCAACGATCAGCCACACCTGCTCCACCTCAGAGTACACACAGTAGTCAGAGCCACATCCTTGCAGCAGTGCGTACGGCCACTTCTCGGAGGTGAGCACCACCAGACTGGGACGTGGTGGGCGGAACTGCGCTGCACCGTCATCCATGAGAACAGTTGCCCCCTCCACTTTGTACTCCCACAGCTGTGGCGGCCTGCCTGCCCTGAGCTCCATCCTCATCCCTCCTCGCCCGTCGGAAACTTCCATGACGTGACCCCACCCCGCATGGCAGACATCCTCGTAGTGTCCCTCCAACTTCTCCAACGTGGAACTCACCACAGACACCTTCGCTGCAGCGAGGGTTGTACACAGCTCCCTCCGTAAAGGAGGGGCGGCGGCAGTGACGGCTGATTGCGCCACCACCGCGGCGCCACGACAGACGCTGACGTGCACACTCAAATAATTAACCAGCCGTCGCAGCAACCACGCGGCAGCGGCGCATTTTTTTTTCACCTTCTTTTGCATTCCCGCCTCTCACCCAGCAGTAGGCGTCGCGCAGTCCGACGCCCAACGCAGACGCATCCTCTTCCGCGCTCGTTCCAAGCTCCCAAAAAATCTCCGTGTCGCGCCGCCCAAGATTCTCCCAGTGCTGGCCGCCTCGCCCTCTCTGAGGAGTGGTCTACAGCGCGTTCACTGACGGGCCACGCAGCGGTCGCCAAAAAAGGACGGGAAAATAATACACGTGCACGCCTCGTATGAGCAGCCCCGGTGGAAGCGTTCCCTGGCAGCCGCAGCAGCAAAAAACGGCCTCTCATTTTGGGGTCTGGCTGGGGGAAAACGAGGCGGCAGGGGAAGATGCGTTGGGTGGCCCTACCAAAAATGCGGGCCGCCACTCCTCCTCCCACCCACACAGACAGACAGTCAGACGGCACTGCCAGCAGCTGTGAGTTATTAACAGCCAAAAGGAGGGCACAACGTGCGAAGGCGCACAGCCCGAAGCATCGGCCGTGCTCCACTCCCACTCCCGCGAAACAGGAGTAGCCCCCATCAGAAGCATTCTTCACTGAGGTGCAGCATCCAGTCAAGCACGAAAGCAGCAAGAACGAAGAGGTGAGGGAACAGTCGATGCCTTCAGTCTCTCGCACAGGCGTGAAAAAAAAAAATCCCCTCGACACCAGACCATCTACCACGCACGGCGAACCCGACGCAGCAACAGACGGTTACACACCCCCGTTTTCTCCATGGCGTGTGAGTGACGGTGAAAAGGTGGAGGCGCGGCCGGCATCTTGCGGTGTCCCTCAAAAACCTAATCTTTTCCCGGCCCACCTTTGGCGACTCCTGCGCATACGCAAAGCAATACAACAGGGGAAAAAGACGATCCACAGCACACTCACCATACGCTGCAAACCGCAATGCACGACCCGGCCATTCCGTCCGAACGCTCCAACAAACATAAAAAACACAAACAAACACACCCCGTGAAGTGAAGCCGAAGCGTGGGCCGTCCACCGAGCAGTGGGGACGCGCAGCAGCAAGTGGGACGACCAGCACACACACGCTCTCTCTGTTCCCGCACAGCCCAATCCAGGAAGAAGAAGAGAGAAAGAGGCCACCCACCGAAAGCAATCCAAACCAAAACAAATGAAATGATTAAAGCAGTTACGGTGCTCTACCCATGCAGCTAAGCAGAACGGCAGCGGCCCCTCAAAAGCAAAATAATTAAAACAAAAAGGAAGACCAACGGGCTGCATGAGTGTGCGTGTATGCATGAGCACATTATGTGTGTGCCTCGTGGGGTGGGGCGAGGGCGAGAGCCTGTGCAGGAGAACACACCCAAAGGGATAGAAGCAGAGAAGGACGAGCTGCGCACGGCTCTCTTTCTCTCTCTGCGTTCCTCACGCTGCAAGCATTGCAGCACCTGAAAGAAGAAGAATAAATGCAAGGGGGAGATGCAGTGCGAGGGCGCGGTGCTTCTGCACGTGATTGTTCCTCTTTTCTCCCTTTAGTACCATCTTGCTCAGTCTTTTCTTTCTCTTTAACAGGTTGACTGTTGCTGTCACCGCTTGACGGTGATTCTCCTTCTTGTGAGACTGGCACATTCCCCAGTGGAGTTCGTCCCTCCCGGCGTCGTACCGGAAACAGTCTCCCCCTCCTCCTGCACACTCGCCCGCAGTCCCTGCACAAACTCCGGCTTGCGGCCGCAGTACTGCCCCTCAATCTCCGCCTCCGTCATGCCTCTCGCGACCACCCTCAAGTCCCTCCAGTCACTTTCATTTCAGTAGTCGTGCC